TTCTTTAATATTATATAACTTGACAAAATATTTCATTCATATAATATGTGGGATCAAACATCAAAAGAAAAGAAAACTTGAACTTAACAAAAAAAAATAGTAATCAATTTAATGATATAAAATCACCAAAACATAAGCAATAAATAAGATGTGTTTCTTTATTAATATCTGTGCTTTATTCATGGTAATACAGCCACTAAAATTGCTCCTTGAGTCACACTCATAATTAATTAAAAATATCTCTTCTTTACTAAAAAAAATATATGACCAAATTTATGTGTGCACTTGCACATAGAAAATCAAATAGGTCCGCCACTAATGTGGACCCATGCAATAAAATAGGTTGTATGCAGATTTAGATGAATAATATGAATTAATATCTTGTCGTGTGACAGGTTGACCCATGTGTCAATTCGTAAAATATATTTTGTCAAAAAAATAAAAAAAAGTTAAAATTTTGGTGATTTAATTTTAACATACCTCGTTATGGGTCACAGGTCAACCTGTATATTTTATTCAATTTTTCCCTTTTATTTTGACTTTTTTTAGAAAAAAATTAAATATTCAAGTTTTGCGGGTCAACCAGTATGATCCGCAACCCGCGGCGGGTTATGTCCGGATTTTAATTTTTCACCCGCGAACAAAAATGGAACATGTTTGGGGTCAGTCTTGACACGAACTTGATCCGCCGACACGTTTTGCCACCCCATTTCTAATAGTAGTTACAAACGCAACTGCTTGATCTATTTATTCACTTTATCCCAAGTTGGGACGAACAATATTGTGTCCCTATTAGGGACGAAATTGGGGACAGATTGCAGAAATTAAAAATGTTTTGTCCCTAAATTCGTCCCAAATAGAGACGAAATATTTTTTCATCTCAAAATCAGTCTCTACTAGAGACAGAATTTATTTCATAGCTAATTCCGTCCCAAATAGAGACATATTATTTTTTCCGTCTCTAAATCTGTCCCAATTAGACACGCAATATTTTCGTCTCTAAAATTCGTCCCTAATTCATAATTTTTTAGTAGTGTTATTAGAAAGCTACATATTTGATTCATAAAATGTCAAATAGTTAGGTTAATAATTTTTTTTCTCTTAATCAAGCTGGCCTTTTTTTTAGTAGCTACTCACACACAATTTATAAAAACAAATAACAATAATAATAGTAGTAATAGTTTTGTGAGACAACTTAATTAGTAGAGCTGGGTGAGATATAAGTGTTGAAAATCGACGATCACACAAATCGAAAAACAAAAGAGAAAAGGAAGAGAGATTTGACACAGTGATTTACCCTAATTTATTCAATATAGGCTACATCCAGCTTATCTGTACTATATTCTCCCCACAGCCATTCGTTGCAAATCACTTGGTTTACAAGAAAATATAAATAGGATTTAGAAAATCCTAACAACAGTTATTCATGGCCTCAAGCCCAAACTACTATGAAAAATAAAATTACAATAAGTTAGAGGGTCACAACAGTATCATACCCCAGTTGTCTTTCTACTGACCCCGCCAATAAGGACCCTTGTTAATATGCGAAATATGAGTTATATCCAACTGTAAGAAATAGCAAGTTTTAACTTTGCAATATATTCTACTTTTTTTTAATTTTTTTTTTTATGTTTTACATGAAAGTAGAATAATATCTAAATTATGAATATGAGTTTGTTTTTTCTGATGTTACTTTAGATAGCTTTATCTAATGTTCATCAAAACGACGTCGTTTTGGGACGGAAATCATGGTATTTTTGTAATTTTAATTTATTTCAGGGTTATAATAGTCTTTATCACTCTAATTTTTTAATTTTTTAACCCCAAAACGACGTCGTTTCGATAAACATTAGATAAAGTTATCTAAAGTAACATCAGAAACTTTTTTCCCTATGAATATATACATCACATAGAATGAAAGCTTTACGCGAAAGCATATTAATATACAAATCACAAATATAAATACTTGTATTACATAGGGAAGAAAACTTTACATAAAAGCATATTAATATTTATATTAGGGGTTTGTATTCATCATTTAACATGACTACAAAAAGTTTCCTACATACACAATATTTTGTGGTACCCGCATATTTTGAAGAAAAAAAAATTATAGCACGCGAAACGAATCTTTAAAACATATCACAATCATTTTTCTTAAAACATAACTCTTATAAATCCTTTATATGATAGGAGATGAAAGCTTTACGTGTATTAGGGTGATTTTCTTGCTTTCTGCCCAGTACAATTAGTCTACTTGGATTACTAGACCACCTCATGAAATCAGGTACAATTGGGCTTGATTCGAAGCCTAAAGCAGACCCTTAAGCTTTCAGGCCCAATCTCTATCGTTTACACTCCTTTCTATTTTAAGAAAATAATCATAAAAAATAAACAGAAAGTTCTTTAGTAAAACGGATACTGGGGTTAAATTGTTTTTACTTTCGAGAATTATTTTTTTTAGAATAAAGCTTGTTTTTAAGAGTTTTTATTTTCTTGATTTTTCAAAAACAGTATAATCATGTAAGTTTTTTTTTTAAAAAGATTAAAAAACAATAATAATAAGGCTGATTCACCATTTTAACCCTGTTTCAATAGATTCCTAAGACTTTTAAATTTTGGTTACTGAAAGTTAAAAATTTCTTTCTCCATTAAAATAATAAAGAATATTTAGTAATAAATATGATATTTAATTATCCATCACTCACACTGATTTTATTTTATTTCCTAAAAAATCTCAATAAGATGATGGAGATGTTCTTTGGTGATATGATTCCACTAACCAAGAAGATGCTTTTATAAATTTCTTATATATGTTATTTGAGTCAGGTGAAAGAAAACATAATGGCCAATTGGGGTAGTAGGTAGTGGTCAGAGGAATGTTTTGCATGAGTGTTGACACTTTCCACCAGAAGGTAGGTTAAACTACACATGGATGGCACTTGTGAAAGGATTGATAATTCTGCAAGATGTGGTGGATTCCCATTCTCGAGGAAGGAGAATTCTATCATTCTCATAATAAGCACTCCTAAGTCGTGTTGATGATGATGATTGATGTCCTTATATCTCAAGGTTACACATTCATTGATGTTGGGACCTATTCATGACCTAAAAAATTGTTTAAGATCACATATTTATTCACTTACCAAAATTTATTTGAGATAAGTTAACCTGGCTCACTGATTAAATCTTTGGAAATTTTTTTCGAATAGTAGGGAAATGTAATAGATAGAGAAATGATTGGAAAGATAGATAAAATGAGATAGGTAGGAAAATGTAAAAAAAAGTTGTTTGGTGGGGAAAAACTTTACTGGGAAAATTAGGTAACTTTATGAAATCAACAGTGCATTAAAAGTCAGATAACCGGTTTTCCGAAAAATTCCACCTTCAAATTGGGTTTCTAAACAGTGCGGATATCTATGTTTCTCATAAATCCAGACAAATTGGATAGATGAGTTTTTGGTGAAAATACGTTGAAACAAACATGGTGTTTCTAAAAGCCCTACTTCAGAAACATAGATATCCGCTGAAAAGCTCCCAACCAAACACCACATTAGTTTAAAATTTTTTTATGTTGTAAGAAATAAAATTATTTCTTACACACATATAAAAATTTATAAGACCGGACTATCTAAGAAAAAAAGACAAAAAAATAATATATATACATATATATATGTATGTATAAAATAATTTTATTTCCAATAACATGAAAAAAATCGTAAACTTTTGAAAATAGCTCTCTTTGATGATTTTGACACGCTACTTTTTATATATCATTTCTTAGCAATTCTTTTTGTTCGGAAAGAATAGAAATCATATGTTGAAATGTATTTTTTTTACTATAAAAGGAAATAAGAATGATGTATTATACTTATAAATAACGGGAAATATTATATTTATTATTATTTTAGTTTTATTATTTTTACTACCTAATTGTTATTGTTTGATTAATTTGAAATCAACGATTAGAGAATGAGAAAAATTATTCTTACTAATCTTACCATTTTTTAATCTTTGATTTTAAATTAATCTAATAATAATCAATCGGATAATAAAAATAATAAAAAATATAATCACCCCTAAAAATAACATACAAATAAGATCGTTGTTCTATTAATATGGCTGACTGGTCATGACTCCTCATGCGCAATTTTAGGCAGGTTTTTAAACAGAATTAATATGTTGAATTGAAAGGTATGTTTTTTTGTTTTATTATAAAAAAAATATAAGGATGATGTATTATAATTATAATTATATACAAATAAGATCATTGTTATCTCTATTAGTATGGTTGGCATGGTCATGACTCATGAGCCATGCACTATTTTTAGGTGATGTTTTTTTTAATAAGGTGAATCGAATCGTACACCCTCTGAGCCAACGAGTACCAGGCACCACAACATAACGCCGTCAAATCATTCTAGGTTTCCATCATGCAGAGCCCGAAAAAGCGGCACCAGAAAAATTAGCAAAAAGAATAGTACCCATCTTTCTCTGTTTACCCCCCATTCTTGTTCTTCCAATTTGTGGACCGTACGATGCTGCACTAATCAATCATCCACTGACACCTGGTGTTTTTCTTGAAAAGTGTCCACGAATCTTTAAATGCCATCTATGGATTATCACAATAATTTAGCATCTAATAATTCATTAATGCCGTCTTTATGAAAACAAAGTCATTAAAACTCAAACAAATTATACTTCACCATTTATTAAATTGAAATATGATGATTATGGGTTATTTTCCCCACAATTATGTAACATTATTTTTAAAATTTGTTTTATTCTTGCTTCAGTGATAATATATTCCTCTCTCTATATAAAATATATATGGGTGGATTATTTTTACACATATAATATTCATCATTAATTGGCTTGCATTTAATGACTTGCATCTTATGAGTCTAATAAATAAGAATCCTTAAATATAAATATGATGAAAATTGTAAAATAATCTTCACTTAATATATCCATAGTATAAACTGTAACTAAACGGCGTTACTCTCTGCTCGTTGTAGTAGTTGTCGCAGTGAGCTTACACAAACTCACACACTCTTTTTCTAAGCTTCCGCAGCCACCACAGTGCTACTTCAAGAGCAAGCGAGAGAGAAATGATAGCTTCGTTGAGCTAATCGCCGGAGGAATTCGCCGTTTCCTTGCCGGAAATTCGAGATCTCACAATCTCCGACGAATTAGATAGCTCTCTTTTTTCTTCTTAGTGGAAGGTCGGGTTAGGTTAGGGTTTATAGGCTATTTGTATTTATGGCTTCGGAGGATGTGAAGACCGGCGAATCCGCTGTAACGAAGATCGTAAATCTGGCGGAGGAGGCGAAGCTCGCCAGAGAAGGCGTGGTCAAGTCTCCCAACCATGCTCTCGCGAGCATCTGCAAGTCTCTCGTCGCCGGTGGAGTCGCCGGAGGAGTGTCAGTTCCGTTTCTCATTTCCTTTTTTTTTTTTGAAATTAGATTTTTAATTCTGAACATATCGATGAAAAAATATATATAAAAATTAATTGGAAGTATTTGTGGTTTGATTTTGATGGATAATGCAAGTGATGGATGTTTTCATTGTCAGGGAACAATGAAGATTGAAGCATCGGGCTTTTGTAATACCGTATATATAAATTTTTTTGGTTAATTTCATAGACTGATTAATACGGGAAATTATAAATCTGGCTTTTGTATTTGGTGAAGTAGTATATATGATCAGTTAAATATAGACGCTGCTGTTCATTTGGGGAGTTGCTAGGTGTAGTCTTGTTCATGTCATTCCATTTACTTGGATTGGATCACTTGTGAAGAACCACTCCCAATTTTGGGGCTTTGGAAAAAGATATAGTTTGTTGTGCTTGTATATGTTAGTTATCATGAAAGTCACTAGAAAATCTCCATTCCCTTAATATCTTAACTGCTAACATTGAAATATCGTCCAATAAAAGAATATATACTTTGAATGCCATTTTCATTTCAGCAAGTTGATATATAATTTACAATCTACTATCCAATTTTCCTGGAAACTATTTCTTATTCCAAGATTGGTGTTATTTTGAATTTTAACCAAACCAAAACTTTTTGTATCTATGCAGATCACGAACAGCAGTTGCTCCCCTGGAACGGTTGAAAATTTTGCTACAGGTTAGTTTATTTTGTTGTTTAGATCTACATGGATTTAGCTATTATTTCTTCTTCCTTGTGTGTGCTGAGAGCCTGAGACAAATAGTATATCTGTATGCGAGCATGCTTTTCGATGTATCCAAGTTCCTACATGTGATATTTCTCTGGGTCTTGCCATATGCAGGTCCAGAATCCTCATAGCATAAAATACAATGGAACAATACAAGGCCTAAAATATATATGGAGAACTGAAGGTTTCCGTGGACTGTTCAAAGGGAATGGCACTAATTGTGCTCGAATCGTCCCTAATTCTGCTGTGAAGTTCTTCAGTTACGAGCAAGCTTCTAAGTAAGTTTTACTTTAAATACAAAATGAAGCACTGATTGTCTTTTTTATAGCATTCTTTTTGTTGGCTTTTCATTCAGGTGCAATATTATATCAATCAACTTATAATGATGGCAAATTGGCCTCTACAATCCTCTTTTAACATTTTTTTTTTACTGCACAGTTTTATTTAAATAGGGTCACTTCAGTGGCTAACATTTTTCAATTATTTCAGTGCATCCCACTTCATATAATTTTAACCTTCTCTTCTGTTTTTTTTTCTGACTTTTCCTTCCTGGTCTGACAGAGGTATACTGCATTTGTATCGGCAGCAAACTGGAAATGGTATGTTCATGTTTACTGTTTTTACTTGTGGATAATTTGTGTTAGCTTGGATAATTATTTGGAGTAGAGCAGGGGCAAGTGTAGATTAGATTCACAGTTGATGAATTGGACAAGGCGGTTTTTCTCTCTAGAAACTTCTTCATTTTTGGTTTATTATTCTTGTGCAGTTGTACTTCTATCCATATACTATGAGATTCCTACTTTATCATAATGACTAGTAACTTATGTAATTATGTTAAGATTTATCACCTCGTAAATCATGCTGAGAATGCTTGGTTGATGAGGTAGCATCTGATTAGGATTATGAATCCCTTTCTAACAATTTAGATTTTGTACATCTTGATTAAAGGCACACTATGAATACTGGTAAAGGTACGGGTACGATTATGGGAGGATAAATCATATAATAAATACAATTTTCATAATGTTCTAATCTAACTCCATAAACTCCATAAAACATATCATGTAAGCTAAAATATCTAAAAGGGCACAAGATTTGAATGGATGAAGTAGCATTTTGTTTCATTTAATAGCAAAACAAACAACTTAGTAGCAAAACTTTGTGTTTTGCAAGGGCTAGCTTGTATTTGAGTGATATTGACTCATTATAATGCTTGACCAAGATGTACCCAAAAGTATTTGATAGAATTTTTTTTTTTTTAAAAAAGAGAGTATTGGGTGTACTCATATGTACCCAACCAGTACTGATACTGGATACGTACCCAGTGCAGAATATGGCAACCATTTCAGAGTACTCATGCATCGTATATGTTACAGCTATGTGGAGTCTAGGGGCCTGTTTAAATGAAAATCTTTTCAATTACAAATTTTGTGCTTAAATTTTCATTACTAAAAATTAGTCTCCTTTAATAACTCAGCCACTTATGGCAACACTAACTGAAATTCATCTTTTTTAAATTGTTTATAACTTTGTTAGTACTAAAACCCTTCTAGTTGTATAAGTATCTTCTCTTGTACTTTCTGCAGAGGATGCTCAGCTGACTCCTGTTTTACGTCTTGGAGCTGGAGCATGTGCTGGAATAATTGCTATGTCTGCAACTTATCCAATGGACATGGTTCGAGGCAGGATAACTGTACAGGTACTTTTTTCTTTCATTTTTATTTTTACCAAATGCATGCTTTGCTTGTTGTGGATTAGAATGGTAGGTAGCTGAAAATGCATAAAGATATTTATTTGCAGAAAAAAATTAATTGGAGAAAAAAATTATGTTAAGTATATCCATGTTCTTTGTGGTCTTAATGTTTGACAGAAAGTTCTTTGCCTTGTATTTGCAGACTGAGAAATCCCCTTATCAGTACAGAGGAATGTTCCATGCTTTGTCAACTGTGCTTCGGGAAGAAGGTCCGCGTGCTTTATATAAGGGCTGGCTTCCTTCAGTAATTGGAGTTGTGAGTAATATTTCCAGAATATCTCTTCTCTTTATGAAGATGATGGTTATGGTCATGATCCTAAAGACAGATCTATAACAAATGTGAAACATGCTTTGACTAAAATCTTCATGGGTGGTTCTTACTGCATTTAAAAGCAACATAGAACCTGCAGTTGGGGGAGGGAGAGAAATTTATCCCCAAGAATGAGAGAAAAAGTTCTGAAATAAGAAATTGAAATTCTGCTTAGATTGCTTGGAAATTTAGTTCTATGCATATCATGTTCCTTCCTTTATCTTTTTATCGTGAACAATCACATGCTTGAACATGTTTATTTAAAAAAAAATTAATTTAACTATTGAATAAACTCTTAATAAATGGCTTAAGTCGGTTGAGCCTTTTTTCAATTCATTTTATTTTTGGAAACTTTCATGCAAACTTCAAAAAATATTTGGCTCTTTGCTATTTATTATTGATCCTTTTTGCATTACTTATGGGTCGATGATATTTGGAAGGGTGTGCAACTAGTTTCTCAGTTATAACTGGTTATGGTAGGATCTGTAATTAGGTACATATATTCATTTACTCATGCATTACTGTTGGGAAGAAGATAGTTAGGAGCAACATTAAGGTATTTGATTAGATAGAGCCTCACAACTTTATGCAAGGGAAGGCAGATTGCATGATTCCCTAAAGGTCCAACAATGGCAAGCTAATGCGTTACAGGTTCTCTTCATAATGAATTCTGGTAGTTGTTACTTACTACTACTAGAGTTTGGTGATAAAGTTTCCCAGTTTTTGGTGGATGTAGGTAGATGTCTATCATTCTATCTATTGCTGCATTACCTTTAGTAGCGGATATTTTGAAACAAAAATTGGGGTAAATCTATCTGTCAGGTTATATCTAATAATTTTTGGAGATATGAAAGGTTACTACTTTGCAATGTTCTCGGCATGCTTCGTAATTATAATTGACTAGGTTATATTGTGATTTTGCATAGAAACATGCTTCCATTAGAATTGATATTATCTTGCTCTCTCTGTCTCTCTTTTTCCCCCCAGATTCCTTATGTAGGTCTCAACTTTGCTGTCTATGAGTCTCTCAAAGACTGGTTAATTACATCCAAACCATTTGGTATAGTTAAAGATTCTGAGTTGAGTGTGACAACACGCCTGGCTTGTGGTGCCGTTGCTGGGACCATTGGACAAACTGTTGCTTACCCTCTTGATGTCATTCGTCGGAGAATGCAGATGGTGGGTTGGAACCATGCTGCTTCTGTTCTAACTGGTGATGGAAGAGGCAAAGTCCCGCTCGAATACACTGGAATGGTCGATGCATTTAGGAAAACTGTTCGGCATGAGGGATTTGGTGCATTATACAAGGGTCTGGTACCCAATTCTGTAAAGGTCAGTCTTCATCTAATGCTCATGATCTATTCTGCCAAAATTGTGTTTGTCTTTGACTTGTCTGAAAAAGAAGGCTTGCATTTCCTACCATCTCTTTACAAAGGTACTACTATTTCTATATGTCAGCGGAACAATTTGTGGGACACTTTCATGTCACAGGGATGATTCCCACGTTGGATTCCCCCAATCAGACTCTGCTGACATTACCTCTGATTAGAACTGTAAATAATAAGCCTACCTGATTAGCCAAAAGCCACCATTGCATTACTCATTGCCTGTGGCTTGAGCCAAATTTTGCTATATTGACCTAGAATTATTGACTGCTTGAAGATCGGTTCCAGATCAACGTATAAATAAAGACAAACTACAGAAATATGCAAGCTAAGTTGAACTCATAACATTGTTTACAAATCTTTGACTTTATGCATTGGTCACCATATTTTGGGCTGCTGCTAGAATTTTGTTTGTTGTGGTCCAGAACCATGCAAAGCAGTGCACTGTGCATAGCAGGCTCTTTGTAATGTAATCAACTCATGCTCTTAACTTTTATGGGTTGATTCAAGATGTTATTTTGATATTACCATTTGTTTAATGACACCAATGCATGGTATTTTCAAGCTCGGTGTTTAGAAATTTTCTCAATTGCCTTTTACTGTAGCCATTGTAATGTGAAAATACATGTGTTTCTTGTTGAAAATATTTTCACCTGAAATTATCGTTTAATGGCCTTTCTCTTCCTTTATTTATAACATTCTTTACCTCACTTGGTGTTCTGCAGGTGGTCCCATCCATAGCGATTGCATTTGTAACATATGAGATGGTGAAGGACATTTTAGGAGTTGAGATCAGAATATCAGATTAAAGTTTGATAACCACATGATATCTGTTTACCAGGTGTGGTTTTTTCTTTTTGTAGGCAAGGGGATGCAGAGATGGTAACTTACAGTAATTTTCTTGTTTTTCATCTTTCCAACGATGAGTTTAGAAACTCTAGATCTAGTGTCCATAAATTTTATTCCCTTGTTCCTATTTGTTTTCCTTGTGGTGCTGTAGTTTTCAGCTTCTTATTCATCTTCTATGTCAATAAGTGTTGTGGAAAAACAATGCAAGGACATATCTGCCTAGCTTTATGCACTAGTTAAGAAAGCATTTTTCTTAGTGGAATTTGTAATGACTGATATTTGTGTTCTCCCTACCCTGTCCCAATCCATAGAAAAAATATACCATTTGAATGAATGTATTAAAACTTTTGCATTGCTGTGTGCATGTTTCTAAGCAGACAGATTAAATACAATAAATAATCATTTCATTTTACTTCATGTTGTTTAACCATGATGTTGCAAGTTTTGCCGTGAGAAAATAGGATGGGATACCAAATGATGGTAGTTCAGTTGGCGCATGGGAGCTGAGCAGGTGGGGGTGAGAGCATGTGTTCGATCTTCCCTAGTACCACCTTGGGGAGGGGTTTAAAAGTTTAATTTTGGACCCGTCCCGAATCGGACTAGTCGTGAAGTGATGAACCGATTGAAATATTTTCAAAAATGAAATGAAATAGGACGGGGTTACCTATTAGAATTTCTGCACTGTAAGTGATGAGATAATGTTTCAATTCCTAGGATGGGGGCATAAGCATTTTTATTGATCGTCTGGAAGTCAATTACAAATAGCAGGGCTGGACGAACACCTTATAACTCTTTTGTTAGCCATTGAACTGTAGAGAACACCTTATCTGCCCATTTATGGTTACTTAATTTTGTTTCCCAAACATCTATTCAGCATTCTAAGACAAAGCTGGGACATCAAGTGGGCAATGGAGGTTTAGCCACAAATACTATAGTTAGTAGTAACTATATGATAGGGACAAATAATCAATTTCTCTGTCTTCAACGTCGGAGCTAACAAAACTTGTCATATTCTGGTGTATTGGTTACCTGATGAGTGACAACTGAAATGCACAATGCTAGATAACACCATGGGTACAAGAGTTCACTGCTATGTGTCCGCGCTTCAGGCATCCTCCTCATTTGATGTTCGACAGCTTCTGATCGTATTGGTGTAGCCTTATGTAGAAAAACCTTTGTAAACAAAGTTTTGGGATGGGGGAAAAATTTATGGTTCTCTTTTTCTTTGTTGTACTTTGTGTGATCCTCCGCGGTAGAAAGATATTACAATTTTCTTCCATGCCTGAACATATAACATGACAACGACGTTTAATGCTAGATAGCAAAGACTCTGTTACAATTCTATTCGAGGGGAATAAGAAAATTAGGATAGAATGCAATACTATTATTTACTTCCATTTCCTCAATTCTTTGTCTCTCTCAAGCCTCCACAAAATGCAGTCTTAAGGTCTAAATTTGCATCATATTCTGGAAATAAAGTGTGAAGGTTTTACCTGGAGTCTCTTATTGTAGTTTGAAATCTTGTTGATGATGACCTCCTCTCAAGCTTGGGTTCATGTATCTCTCCTTTCTTAGTTTGTAACCTTGATATGCAGGTTTTAGCTCCTGTAACCTGATCACTTACATTATGCTCACTTTCCTCATATTCCGTGGAGTCATCAATAGAGAATGAAAATAACGAAATGAATACAAGCAACATGTTTAGCTCAGCAGAGATTTGTTTTGCTGCTGCGAGTGACTCGATACACCACCATTCTCTTCTTCCTCTTCATACTCTTCCTCCCTATGTATTTCAGTGTCTTTTTCTTTCGCTGGTTCTGCCATATTCCCTATAAAAAAACATGTCACGAATCACAAATTAATTAATCTGAGCTTACTTATGTGCATAATTGCAAGTTGGTAAGACTCACCTTGATTGAGGATTCCCCATGAAAGACACCAGCCTAATTTGAACCTCAAGCATGGTTACATTTTATTCTCAATTCCATGTTTCCAATTTTATTTTTATTTTTCAAATTGGGAGGTTGTTAATCAACTCTTGAATCTTTGTTTGGTTCTCAAACGCTACCAAAAAAAAGGAAGAAAAAAATAAATAAAAAATAGGAAAGGGAAAGAGTTAGTTGAGGCTACTTTGTCCATGAGGTAAATATAGGCTTACAGACGAATGGCATTGCATGTATTAGTTTAATGTGGTAAGTGGTAAAGCATGTGAGAGAATAAATCAGATCCTAACGGTGAAACTCTCTTTTTTGCTTTGTGAAATGAGGCATGCCGTCAGTTTAGTCGTAAGGACTTATTTCCCTTTTTCTTTCAACATACGGTCATTATTGAATTAACTTTTCATATCACCAATCATGTATCACTAAAATTTAGAAGAGTTCAATTCCTGAAAGGTTACCCTAATTCTTGCATTATTAACTTTCAGTCTTCCCACCCCATCAGTTTTCGTTTGAGTATTTTCACTAATTATGCTTGGTGTAGAGGTGTAAATGGGTTGGATTTTGACTTAAATTTGTCAGATTTGTGTAAAATATTATAAGTCCGACTTAGTCTATTAGCCTTATGCTATGTTGCACCGACACGGGATACGACACTCCGATACGTTAATTCTAAAAAATATTAAATTTTGACACGGTAGGACACGTTTTGATATTATATAATATTTTTAATTTATATAGTGTATATTATATTTAGTATTCAGTATTTTAACAAAAAAATAAAGCTATAATTATAATACCCATCAATTTTGCAAAAAAACATAATATTCTTCCAAATGTTTATATTAAACTCGATAAAATCGTAATCGTAATCGTAATTTAACGAATCTAATAGTTGGAACTCAAAATGCAACGCAGTGTAACATTTGAACATTTTTTGAGTCTTTACAATGAGTATTGGAGTGTCGGTAAGTGTCAGACACAATACGTTAGGATTTTTGAAATGTCGATGCTTCATAGGCCTTATGTAGGCTCAAATTATAGGTCTGGTCTGTCCTATATTTAAAAAACAAATTTTTTGATCTAAGCTTGTTAATTTGTTTAAGCCAATTAAGCATTCAATAATTAAAATAATATTACTTTATTATTCAAAATTATTAAAGTAATAATTTTATTTCATTTTATTTAAAATAAATAATATGATATAGGCTGACCTATAGACTTATATACCCAGTATATTAAAATAAGTCCACGACCTATTTTCTAAATAAAATTTTTAAAAGTCTAAACGTGTTTTATTTGGCTATATATGATAGGCCAAGTCTAGCCTTATATAAACCAGGCCTACGGCTTATGACCTATTTATACTCTACTTGATAGGAATAAAAATAACACGAAGGAAATTCTTACTACATTGTCAATATTTATTTAAAAAGCTGTAATGCTTAAGTGTGTTTGCATTAGATCTTAGGAAATCTAATAATATTTTTTCAAAAAGAATTTTTTGTTACACAAAAGTTCATGGTTTATTAGTCCGACCGTAATTAAACCTATATATTTTTAATATTATGTAATATGTTAAGAAATAAATTAACATAACATCATAATTTACGAAGTGGGACATAACACACGACACGACACACGACACGACATTAATTCTAAAAAATGTTAGATTTTGACACGTGAACACATTTTGATATTAAATAATATTTTTTAAGTTATGTAGTGTATATTATATTTAATAATTTAACAAAAAAAATGAAACTAAACTTATAGGAATATGTTATTCTATTACATCTTTTTCTGTCTACCTTTGATTATTACTTTCCAACACCGTTAAATCAGAATTTCAACTACCGTTATTATTTTTCTCTTATTCAGATTTTGATCTAACGGGAAAGTGATAAAAAATGGTAGGAAGAAAAAGAGGTAGGTAGAATATTTGGGATGAGTTATTCTACCTATATCTTTTTCTGCCTACCTTTGCCTATTACTCTCACCATTAGATCCAGTGTTGTAAAAATTGGATCAGACCGGCCGGTTCAACCCGGAAACCGATAAACCGGTCGTGTGACCAGTCCAGATAGCATATTGAATCGGACTTGCAGGTGAACCGGTGTGAACAGGTTTGACTCGGTGAGACCCGGCCGAGTTTTCCTAAAACCGGTGACCCGCCTGTTCAAAAAACAGTCGGCACAGCTTAAGAAACAAAAAAAACAAAAACGAAACCATAAGAGAAAACCGAAACAAGAAGAGAGAAACCAGAAATGGAACCATAAGAGAGAAAACCAGAAAACAAGCAGAGAAGAGAAAACCAGATCAGGGTTTATAAGATAGAGGCCGCTAGACTTTGCGAGTTAGTGACATGCGAAAACCATTTATGCATGGTTTCGTTTCTGGTTTTGGCTAAAACCAGAGAAAACTCAACAGAAGGCGGCTGGGATTGAAAATAAATGTTAAATGTGAAATAGGAACTTAGGGTTTTGGAAAGTTGGGCCTGTTCAATCCTTTTTGAAATAAATGGGCCAAATCTAAAAACCCACAAAGAAAAATTTAATAATTTTGAAATCTTTTATATTTTCATATTGTTTCATGTATCATTTTTCTTCTATTTACATGTGTGCACCTTTATTTTTATTTATTAATTTATTAATGGTAATATGTTCATATTTATTTTAATTTAAAATAAAAAATTATAACTAGTATCCCAAATTAAAAATTTAAAAGTATATATATATATAAATATATTCGGGTCATGCGGTTGAACCAGTGATCCAATGACCCAGTACTCCGACCGGTTCGATAACCGGGTCGGTTTTTATAACATTGGTTAGATCAGAATCTCAACTACCCATCAATTTTGCAAAGAAACATAAAATGTAAATATGTACTATTATATTTTTAAAATGAAAATCTCTAATACTCTCCAGTGAGTTGTATCCATTTTGAATGTTTATTATATCATTTTGGTAAAATATCGATCAATTTTTCATAATATGTAATGAAATTTTAAATATTATAGATGTCGGAGCGTGTCAGATACAACACTTTAGATTTTGTGAAGTGTTCGGTACAATATAGATCGTAATAAATCAATTTAGGTAAAATTTTAAATTAAAATAAAAGAATCATATTATATAGCATACAAGGTAAAAACTAATCATAAAATGGGAGAGAATACAGAAACGTATGTGTTATTTCTTTTTCTTTTTTTTGATAGACACGTATGTGTTATTTCTAATTTGTAAAAACATGACGCGTGATCAAGCATTTCGAAAATTAAATTTAATATCTTTAAGATGTTGAATATATAAATTTTTCACTGAGAAACCGTATCTGATTATTCTTATAATAAAGAAATCATGATGAAATTTTTATCTCTTTTCTGTACTTCAATTCTTTCAGATGTTAATTACAACCTTAATACCTTATGGAGGG